ACTTAAATCAGGTTAATTAAAATACAATTTCTTATGCAATTTGCAATTCAGCCAATTATTTCTATCACATGAATGGATTTTAAACCAAGGAGAATTTCAGTTGATTGAAATTGCAAATAGGGCATCTGTTCATAATAAGATTAGTGATTAAAAACACTAATAAGAAAGCATAACAGATTCAGTATATAAAATAGGCTGCATTTAAAACTGATGCCTGACTCATTGCAAGTATCTTTAAAATGAGCAATCACATTTATGTATCACTCTTTCTCTGAACTCTCCTGGGCAATCAATTCCATCAGAATGCATTTAGGCTTCTGAGAACTGTTTTTGTGAGGGTGGCCAATCCAAACTCATTTCTTAAATAATTAAATATGTACTGAAGAGACCAGTCTGTGTTTTAATTATTCCCAGTTACGGGAGCTGAAAAGAAGACCCATGTTTGGCAAAAGGAAAAAATGAAAGGAAGAACTAAACATCCATTGGGGTGGGCAAGAATGTGTGTTTATGCCTGGGGGCAAGAGTCCTTGACTTACAACCATAACTGAGCCCAAGATTTCCGTTGCTAGGCAACATAGTTATAAAGTGAATTTTGCCCCATTTTGCAACCTTTTTTGCCACAGTGGTTAAGTGAATCACTGGAGTTGTTAAGTTAGTATTGACTTTGCTTGTTCAGAATGTCACAAAATGTGATCACATGGCCCCAGGATACTGCAACTGTCATAAATATGAGTCAGTTGCCTAGCGTCTGAATTTTGATCATGTGATCATGGAGAACCTGCGTGGTCTTAAGTGTGAAAAATCACCATAAGTCATTTTTTCAGTGCGGTTGCGACTTTGAACTGTCATTAAATGAACTATTGTAAGTCAAGGACTACCTGTACTAGAAAGGTATACAGGAGGTAACAGGAACCGCACATTAAGAAAAAATTATTTTGACCAATGAAGATTCCAGTCACAGAATGATCACCTAAATAAAACAGGTGCCCCAAGAGCTGTAGCTCAGAGGTGGTCTTCAGCAGGTTCTGACCAGTTCTGAAGAACCGGCAGCGGAAATTTTGAGTAGTTCAGAGAACCGGCAAATACCACCTCTGACTGGCCCTGCCCCCATCTATTCTCTG